GCCACAGAAGAGGTGACAAACCCCCTCCCTGAGGGCTGCACTTTTTTTGCTGGTATTTGTACCACGCTATCCCCAACTACAGTTTCAACAATTCTCAACTAACATCCCTCCTTCTCCCTCTGTTCCGATCGCGTCGAATTAGCACATTTCCTTAGTTGAGCTTGACGACAACGATTGAGGGACTATCCGATTCCAGGCAGGGCTAAGTAAGCCGCTACTACAACAATAAGAACCTTCTTCTTCTTATTTAGCGCTGTAACCGCCTAAGCGATTTTGGCCAAGCACGCCAGTCGTTTCACTTCTGTGCCAACTGATGCCGATTGGAAATGCCAAGTGAAGCCAACTACTTCTCCATTTGAACTGCAGCTTACATTGTCAATAGAAAAATTCTGATCTATGCTTGATCCAGCATTGTGTGACAAACAGTGACAAAAAAGGCTCCAGGTTACGTTGTTGTTGTAACCGCATACAAATTCCCCAAAGAGTTTTTGGAGAATGGTGCTGAAGTGACAGTACTTGGCTAGATATGCATCTGGGACGTTCCGGTTACATATAACCGACTGTCGTGGGAACGCTCCAAGTTATATTTGTTACATCGATTGGAATATGAAAGTTAACCCTGGTCTTTCGATTCCTGGTCAGCATCCCTAAAAGACGACTTTAGCTGTGATGCGTGATGCATGGTGAAAGTGAGTAGTAAAGCGGCGATCCATAACTTCGTTTTCTGCGATAAAAGTGTACGGGCTTTGTTTTTTCTTTTTGCTTTAGACAAAATTTTGACAGAGAATTCGGCGTATTTGCTATTGTAATAGGCATTTCTCTGGCTTGCTTGTCCAAAGTGGAAAATGATTAGTTCTATAAAAAAGCTTTGAGTTGTCGGGGCATGAGTTTAACGAAGAGCCCTCAGAAGGAGCAGAATCAAAATAATTAAACGAAGTAAACTGCATCCTGCGGCACCTTTGGATTTTTCTCAGTTTAGAGTTAGATTTATATCTGGCCAAGGCCTGTCACTCCCTCCCAAACGC